TACCCAAGGGGGATAGCTGGAGGCTCCGTCTCAAAAAAAAAAAAAAAGAAAAAGAAAACTGTGGTTCTGGCTATATCTCTAAAATTCATTTGGATAACGGTAGCTTTTAGCCCTTACTGTGTTTGGTGAAAATGTACTTCAGGACTTTTTTGTTTCATTAAATCATAGCTGTGTACATTAATGTAGTCATGGGGTACGATGTGCTGGTTTTATATACAATTTGAAATATTTTCATCAAACTGGTTAATATAGCCTTCATGGCATTTTCTTAGTTATTGTATTAAGACATTTATATTCTACATTTAGTAAGTTTCACATGTACCCTTGTAAGATGCACCATAGGTGTGGTCCCACCAATTACTCTCCCTCCGCCCATCCTCCTCCCTCTCCCCACCCCTCCTTTAAAGGACTGGTCTTTTAAAATCTTTCCATGTATTTGCCCACTTTCTTCCCAAGTCTGCCCTGAAGGCCCAACCTCAGAAAAGGTTTATATAAAAGGGTCAACCTCAGCTGGGAGCCACTCTCCTGCTATAGAGGCCAGGAAAACAAGATTCAAGGTGGCGGGGTGGCTGGCAAAAAAGCTCAGAGTCTCAGCTTTCAACTCACCAACTGACAAAAAAATGACTTTTTCCTGTTTATATGGTTCAGTTCTGAACATCTGATAAAAGACACCAAGATCGTCGTATCCTTAGAAAGTTCTTTGGGAGGCCACGAAACAAAACCACATTTCCTATTTAACCTCTTAAGGTGGCTTTCTGTTTGCTGACTTTTTCTTCCCATTCCGAAAATCTTTCAGCTAAGCAGCAGCTCTTAGCTATAGCTGACCATTTTGGAACACTGCATATATTGGAAATTCCTTGGACGTTAAGTCACCCTTCCAGCAACGAGGTGAGTGACCTTTGCCTTTGAGGACTTAATATGACCAGATGTTGCTGAGGCAGGTCCCAAAAGTGTGTTAGAAATGGAAGCATTTTCTCTATAAGGGAACCGAAGATCCGCGAAGTCAAAAATAAGAGGATGTATTTCTGGTGTATGAGTTAAAAAATTTGAAGGTTAAAAAAAAAAAAAAAAAAGACAGGAGATGGGAGGGAAACCAAGTAAATCAATCCCGACTTTGAGAGAATACTTGATGTAAGGATTCATAATCGTAGAATGTCCTTTTCTAGTTCTAACTAAAGTGTAGGATGTTTGTGTCAGCAATGCCCTTTCCTGAGGGCTCAGTTGACGTTTCCATACGCCCACCTTCACCTCCTCCTCCCTCAACTTGGTGTACTGCAGATAACGCTCCTGACCCGGCAATATTCTGTACACCCCTCTGCCTTGCAGCCACCACCTGTGTATTTCTACCAATGCTAATCGTGAGGTTTGGAAATGATTAATGAAGAGAAATACATAAGTAAATATACAACAAAATTAAATCTGTGCGTGGCAATCTGTTGCAAGTCCCAACAACATTAGCTTAGTTCAAAACATACTCTCTCCCCCACTTCCTCTCCAAGGCCCCTGCTGACTTTCCTGCTTCCATTTTTATGCCTACAGTGCTAATAAGCTCTGCGGGGGACCGGGAACTCAGCTTTGCTTTTAGTACCATTAAGTGTCTCCATGGATACACTCATCTGGGTTTTGCAAGTTTGGTTGGTGATGTGAAATTTCACTCCGTCTGAGAAGTGAGAAGGGAGAAAAGGAAAAAGCAATTGCTGAATTTTGCTGGGTTGTGCAGTTCTGTCCTTCCCACCCTACTCTGGAAACCTCCAAGGCATAGGGATATAAATCTTATCACAGTAGACCCCAAATTGAAACGGAGCTACCTTCTCTGGGAGTAGGTCTGGAAGCCCAATTTCCAAATCACTTTCACCTAAAAGGTCTGAAGTATGGCAAAGTAGGTAACCTGCCCAAGGATTAGATAGACGGTCATTAGCAATGATAAGGCAGCTGAGGGAGGAGGATTAGAGGGTCACCTGCCTACTTACAAGTGGCAGGAATTTTCACAGAACCTTCGGAAGGGACTCTAGGTTGCCTTCTCCGGCCTCTCTTTCCTGCAGGTATCAAGTGTACAATATTACTTCCAAAGAGAGGTGAAGCATCTGGAATACGTCGCCCAGCGCAAAGTTATTCGTGACAAAGAAATCAAACAAATCAATATGGAAAAGGAGAGGAAAAGAAGTGTAAGTTAAATCTCAGAAATGAGAGTTGCTTTCCTCGAACACCAGCGGAAACAGGACTGTTTCGCTTACTCCACAGTCCACAGGGCACTTAAGCCTTTTCTCATTCTCCTCTTGTTCTCATGAGAGTCAAAGTGCCAGTGATTTCCAAGCTCACTAGGAGTAGGAACTGCCAGTTGGACACCCAGTGAGATTCTATCCAGCTTCAGTTTCTTTCTTTTTTTGAGACAGGGTCTCACTTTGTCGCCCTCAGTAGAGTGCTGTGGCATCACAGCTCACAGCAACCTCCAACTCTTGGGCTTAAGCGATTCTCTTGCCTTGGCCTCCTCAGTAGCTGCAATTAGAGGCACCCACCACAATGCCTGGCTATTTTTTGTTGCAGTATGGCCGGGGCTGGGCTCAGTATATAGAGCTGGTGCCCTACCCACTGAGCCACAGGCGCTGCCCCAGCTTAAGTTTCTGAACTTTTCTATTTTTATTTTATTTTATTTTGCAGTGTTTGGCCAGGGCTGAGTTTGAACCCTCCACCTCTGGCATACAGGGCCGGTGCCCTACTCCTTTGAGCCAGAGGCGCCACCCTCTATAGTTTTAAAGTCCTTTAGAATAGATACATTGATTCAAAATTTGAATGCTTTCATTATATAGATTGTAGTATCTGGTAAATAATGCATTAAAATAGGCAGTTGGGGCAGGATTCAGTGGCTTAAGCATAATCTTAGCATTCTGGGAGGCCAAGGCAAGTGGATCCTTTGAGTTCATGAGTTCAAGACCAGCCTGAGCAAGAGCGAGATCCATCTCTACTAAAAACAGAAAAATTAGCCAGGTGTTATGGCAAGCACCTGCAGCCCCAGCTATTTGAGGCAGGAGGATCACTTGAACCTAGGCGTTTGAGGTTGCCGTGAGTTAGGCTGATGCCATGATGCTCTAACCTGCGGCAACAGAGTGAGACTCTGTCTAAACAAAAACAAAAACAAGCAGTGGGAAAAGAATTGAACATAGAATCAAAACATGTGGGCTCTGGCTCAGCACCTGTTGCACAGTGGTTATGGTGCTGGCCACATACACCAAGGCTGGTGGGTTTGAACCTGGCCTGGGCCTGCTAAACAACAATGACAACTACAACAAAAAAAACAGCCTGGCATTGTGGTGGGTGCCTGTAGTCCCAGCTACTTGGGAGGCTGAGGCAAGAGACTCACTTAAGCCCAAGAGTTGGAGGTTGGAGGTTGCTGTGAGCTGTGACATCAAGGCACTCTACCAAGGTCAACATAGTAAGACTCTGTCTCAAAAAAACCCATGTGGGCTTAAATCCCAACTCTGCCTTTTACTAGCTGAGCGATCTGGAGCAAGGGTCTCATTTTTGCCAAGTATCAGTTCTCTCATCTTGAAAATGGGAATATTGATAACTGCCTTTTAGGATTTATAAGGCTTTCAGTTAAATAACAGGACAAATTTGAGGCTTTCAGTAAATGGGAGCTATTATAACAATAGATAGAGATAGAAACATGATAGATAGGAAAGGGAGAGAGATGAATTTTACTGTATGTCCCGTTTCCCCGAAAATAAGACCTACCCCCAAAATAGGCCTTAGCAGGATTTCTATGCATTTGTTCAATATAAGCCCTACCCCGATAATAAGACCTAGTGATGGGTGTGGCTGTGCAGTATATCTGCATAGCCATGCCATGCATTTCAGCACAGAGAGGGAAGCATCCCCTGAAAATAAGCCCTAGTGAGTCTTCTTGAGAAAAAATAAATATAAAACAGTGTCTTATTTGGGGGGAAACAGCAATATACTAGAGCTATTAAACTTGAAATAGAGGAAAATCTGGTATGGAACTCATGCATCTTAAACTATACCAAAAAGGAACCCAAGCTCAAAAGGCCCCACTCTCATCTTTCCCAGCTTTTCCCTGTGTGATATGATTCTGTGACTCTGTGCCCCCTGGATTTGGGCATTTTTAAATTTCTGTGAACCCATCTCTTCTTGCAGTGTATATTTCTACTTTCTTTCTCATTTCTTCTCTTGTGGGATTTCTTCATTGTTCCTATCTACCATTTCCTTATAACTAAATACATTTCCTCCTCCAACAGAATTGTTCATGTGAGACCCTCAGTCTTAACAAAAAGCACCAGCATGTAATATTTTAATGTACTGCATTAGCAAATGGGTTAACATTGTCACTTATTGATAGATACTAATTAGCACAATAGAAGCAGAGGGTCTCATTTCAAAACACATTGTTTAGCGGTAACAAAGTATAAAAGAAATACCAGTTAATTAACTTTTCACTGTGTCCCATTACTCTAAACAAATTGGTCCTGGTTTGGTTCTTTTGTGCACTTAACAAACATTTGAAATTCCATTGTGGGTGATAATCTGCCACTTTCTCCTACCCCAGCAATTATCCACAATCAGCATGAGTGTTTAAATACCGGAGTGACAGCTTCTCAAGCTCCTCATCACCTACATCTGTAGGAACAAGTAGACTTGTGCATAATCAAAAAATAATTTGCCTGTGACATACTTTTAAACTTCTGGAATATTATAATAATTGTATCTTAAAATTGTACTGTGCTTTTTAGTTTCCAAAGCTTTTCCACCCCTCCTTGTATCCTCGTTTTGTTTGATGTAGTCCTTTCTGTTAAGTTGGGGCTCCCATTCTCAAATTCTCTCTGGATCTCGGTGGTATATAAGGGAATTGGCTTTAAAGGGGTTCCTCCGTTACACTTAGGACACGAGAAAGGTCACTGAGTAGAAACTAGTGTTAGTGAGACATGCCGCCCCTAAGCAACTGCTGATGAAAGAGCAAATGAAAACAAGAACTGTGACAACCTCAGAGGACTGCAGTGGGCATTGGATGCCTGTTGCCAGCACATAGAAAGTGCTAGTGTTTGCTATTAATACTATTACAGAGGCCAGGAAACAATCACACATTCGTCCAGCAAAGCTGATCTTAACGAATGCCCACCAGGTGCCAGGATGAGGCTGTACGCTTCACCCACAGATTGCAGGAAAACCTTACACCCTTCTATGTGCACACATAGGATGTGGACAGAGCTCACTGTTTAAAGGATATGACATGGGAATTTTTCAAACTGCAATTTCAGCTGTAGACCCAAAGCTGGGAAGAAGAGTCATTACCATGTGATCCACAAGCTGTGCTGTCTACGTGGGGTTTAGGAGAGGAGGGACTTGAAAAGAATTCTGTATGCTCTAGGCAATTAATCACCTTCCAGGCTACACCAGGGAGGCAAGCGTTGCAGTGAAGAAGTCTGGAAGAGGAGATTTGTTTTGTTTTGTTGTGTTGTGTTGTATTTTGTTTGGGGAGAGGGTTGGAGGGCCACAGTGGAGGGCCTTGTCTTTCCCAGCACTTGAGATCCCTCCTACCCTTTTACCCTCCTGCAAACCCCTTGCAGAGAGCAACAGCCAGGTCAACTGTTCCCAGACAGCCCCTTCTTATCCTCTGGTATATATTTTTTTCATCCTCTGGTATTTTTAACTATCAGCACCTTACAGGAATGCCTTATTTTCCTCCCCACAGAAAACATATCAGAAGTCAAAAGAACAAATTGAGGCTGGGTTGAAACTGGACTATGAACAGTATCTGGACCTGGAAAAGACCACCCTCATCAGTCTCGGCCTACTCAAAATATCAGAGAGAAGGTCATTCATCGACATGTTGTAGAAGAGCCTTCCGAGGGGGTGTTTGGGGAACTTTGTGGGACCTATCCTCCTTCTGTTCATTACTTTTTATATAGAATGATCTAGCAAACTGAACATGTATAAGGTTATTTATAAATACGGGCTTTTATTTCATGCTATTAAAAAACTTCTAAATTATAACAATAATATTTGTGTCCATTTTTGTACTGAATATGTATTGAATCTTGTGCTGAATACGAACAGTTTCAATAACAAAATTTGTATTTTCTTCTAGTAATAGAGAGCTTCAGATATCCCTATACCCCGGCCTTGGGTGTCCACGCAGAGGCCCTAATCCCAGGCAGGAGGGAAAACTCAAACTTTGCTTTAACCTCTCTGCTTTTTATCACCTTTCCCAAAAATGCTTCCATTGCACAAATTGTAGGGCCATGTGCTAAACAAAATGTTAGCAAATTGAATCTAGAAAAAAAAAAATATTTAAAGGCTAACGCATGAAGCTCAAGTTGGATTTAGCCAGGGAACATATGATTCATTTAATTATAGAAGATAAATCAGTGATTGGTTAAAGAAGGGAAATTATGGTGCCACATAGATGCAGAAAAACATTTGATAAAGTTGCACATCCATTCATGATAAGGACAACAATAATTTCTTAGCAACTATAGAAAGAATTCCCTTACTCCGATAAAGGGCATCTAAAATAGTTCCCAGCCAAACATCACACTTAATTGTAAAATGTTGGAAGCTTTCTTCCCAGACTTAGAACAAGACATGGGGCTCAGCAGCAGGCCTCCTAGTCAGCACTGGGGCTTGACCAGTATAGGCACAAAAAGGCAATAACAGCACGTGACACCCCCGATGACAAACCTTGGAGTCCTATAGTTTTATTTTTATTAAATCTTAACTGTGTACTTTGCATCTAAGGGGTACAATGTGCCTGTTTTATATGCAATTTAGAATGCTTACATCAAACTGGTTACTATAGCCTTCAAAACAAAGTACTATTTTTTAAAGTCTTTTTAAGGTCTTTAAAGTATGACAGTGGGGCTTTAATAGGGATTGCATTAAATTTACATACTGCTTTGGATAGTATGGATCTGTTAACCATGTAGCTTCTTCCCAGCCATGAGCATGGTATATTTTTCTATTTGTTAACCTCTTTAGCTATTTCTTTTCTCTGACTTTCATAGTTGTAGTCCTATAGTGAAGACTCTCATAAACTAAGCTCAGGAAGCTGGATTATAATTTGTGCAGAGAATTAATAGAAGTTAAGCAGGAAGGTGACACGATCAGCTTTATTTGGAGGAAGATAAGGAATGGATTAGTGTGCAGAGAGGCTCACGGCAGGAAGTCCTATCAGGAGGCAATAATAATAGTCCCAGGTAAAGGATTAGGATGTCATGTCCAAAGCTGAGTGTGGAAATAGAAGTGAAAGGCTTCCCTGCGCCCTGCAAGGCCGGTGCAGGCGGCTGCCTGCTGCCTCCCGGCTTGTCCCCTGCTCCTCTGCCCTGCTCACACCCACTCGGCCACCCGGCCTGCTGTTCACCAAACGTGCCCAGCCTCTTCCTACCCCGACCTACGGTGCTTGCTGTTCTGTACTTTCTCTAGAGAACTTTCTTATTTTCATGAGTTCACTTAAAAAAAAAAAAATACACTGAGTGCCTACTAAGTGCCAGGCTCTACCAATTTAAATAAGGTTGTCAGAGAAGGTGACATTTGAGCAAAGACCTAAAGGGAGCAAGGCCTTTCCCCTGCAGCTTGGTGTGCTCGGACACCCCAGCCCCCAGCCCCAGTGCAAAACAAGCTGGGACTTCAGGCAACAGGCGTGTCACAGCTGTCCGACATAAACCGGTACCTGGGGTGGGCATGTTGGCTCAATCACAACCGGGTGTGGTGAGCATAGGCGATGAGAGTGAGGGATATGGAATAAGCGTCGGCCTCAGGGTTGTTAAATGAAGAGTTTAGCACAGTGGCTGGTCGAGAGTAAGCAGGAGACACAGTTGGCTATTATTTTGCCTAATTTACAAATAGGCAATGACTGTGACTCCTACAGAAACTAAAGCTGGGGCTCCTCATGCTTCGGAGAGCAGGTATCATCACTTCAGGATATTTTTATTGTGTGTTTTCCAGCTCAGCTTTTCCACCACACCAGCACATCACCACCCAGAGAAACAGTGGTAGCCCAAGTACTGCGGGCTCTCGCCCCACTGGGTGACCAGGTAGCCCAGCCGCTGCCAAGTGGCTGCAGGTGTGTCCAGTAGTCCCTGGGATGAAGAATAAGTCACGGCTCAGTGCCCGTTGCTCAGTGAGTAGGGCACTGGCCACGTACATCAAGGATGGCAGGTTCGAGCCTGGCCTGGGCCTGCTAAACAATGACAACTGCAACAACAACAACAAAATAGCCAAGCGTTGTGATGGGCGCCTGTAGTCCTGGCTACTTGGGAGGCTGAGGCAAGAGAATCACTTAAGCCATAGAGTTGGAGGTTGCTGTGAGCTATGATGCCACAGCACTCTACCGAGAGCAAGAGGGCGACATAGCGAGACTGTGTCTCAAAAAGAAAAAAAAAAAAAACGAAAGAAGTTGCTCGTGTTAGAAAATAAGCCCACACCCCACAGGTGCTCAAGGCTCCCCCTCTCAAAACGCTGGCATTGCCTGGTGGCCGGAGCCACGTGGGAATGTGCTAGGACAATGCTTTTGTGTTAGGTCAAGTCCAGCAAGTAGCAAACCCCGAGGCAGGAGTAGATGAGTGAGGCACTTACTGGGGTGACAGCAGAAGCCTGGAGAGCCTTCAACCTCCAGGCAGGCCTGGTGCGTGTGGCAGGAAAGAGGAACCAAGGCTGGGTCGGAGGCGGCTGAATTAGCCCCGTACTTCCCTTTGTCACCCACACCTAGAAACTCAAGGTACTCACTGTGCTGCCACCTCCTTCCCGGCGTCAGTTCTCCAAGGGGGCTCTCCAGACCCTCAAGTGAATGTCCTTTATACTGGCCCAGACCCTCCATTTGGCAGCCCAGGCCAGACGGGCTGACTGACTGCAGCTGAGGCCACACTGGGGCCCTTACCACCCACAGCTGGAGATGTAGGGCCACTGGGCATGAGCAGAAATGGGCCAACTGGGTTCCCCCTTCTAATCCCCAAAACTCCAGCACTTTCCTGCCAGTTCTTCCTGGCTGTCCTGTGGGTCAATCCAAGCTTCTTTCTCTGCTCTTAAGTCACTTGGTCTGGCTCGTGGGGCAATGAGTAGAAAGAAGCCCAAGGTAGGGTAGGTGTAATCACTAGCCCCATTTTAGTCTTAGTTGCCTCATCTGTAAAATGGGGATAATAATTATACTGACCCTGCCTCATACGAAGACACTGCACGCAAAGCCCCAGGGTGTAGCTGGTGCTTAATCAACGTCTCTTCCTTCCCTGGCTGGTCTCAGGTGCAGGCAGACACACCAGAGAAACCACAGCTTCCTCTTTGTTCTATGGAACAAGTTACCTGATTTTATCATTTTTGTTACTGCTAATAATGGGAAGGTCTTCCGGACTCAGATGTGACTTAAACGGGGACTAAGCATGCCTGGTTTAATATTAGCCTTTGATCATTTCCATATGAGACCACAAATGGTAGACATAATCTTTAAAATAGCTTTCGTTTTTTGCACAAGTTAAAATGCTACTCAGAAATTTAATCATTCTAATAATATTCGATGTATTTAGATTAAAATGTAATCATCATTCAGCTTTACAAATTGCTTTTCACCCACCAAGAAATGTGTAATTAAGCCAGCGTATTTTCGGGTCCTCAGATAAACGCATTGTCTGTGCGCGCTTCAGATGAAAAGGCAATTAACTCCAGTGGACAATGGCCCGGGCGCTCTCTGTAGCTTCACTAATCCGCCACTGTAAATAATTAACAACTCTCTCTGCCCTTCCACCTGGGAGCACTGCCCAGGGTGGGTGGCCTTCCACCCAGTTGCTAGGTTGCCATTGCCAGAGCAGATCTTGTGTAACTGAGCAAGGTCCTCGAGGCAGAAATTAAATATCTCAGTGAAGGGAAGATGAAACCCTGTGTGAGGAATTCACTCCTTCCACGGAGCTGAGCTGCCTGGGAGTCACAGGCTCATGTGAAACAATTGCGACCCTATCAGAGCAGACTCCCACACACCCCACCAAAACCAGCCTTGGAAGTTTATAGGGAAACGATGGGTTTCTTTCAATTGTGTAATTGCTTTCTTGATAATAAATATGACGTACAAAATACACACAGCGCAGCACATAACACGGGCTGCGTTTCCCTGCAGCAGCACCAATGCTGTAAACTTAAAAGGACAGAAAATAAAGTTTCTCTAACACACCTGTGCAGGTGCTATGCTGGGACGTTCTTACTCCTTTTAAAGAGAAGGAAGGATGATGTAAAACAGAAGATTTTACCTTCTTCCTTGTCTATTGCAGATATATTTTCCAGCCCATTTTTAGGAATAGTTTCTCTTTAAAAAAAAAAAAAACTCTAAAAAGAAAATTAACACTAAGTCAAATCTAAAATATGAAAAGTGTCAGCCAAATAGTAATGTCTGCAGGACTGGACAATAAGTACTGCTTGTCAGCAGTACAGAGACAGCCATATATACTCATCTCTTAGGCAGGGAGGATTTTGCTCTCCTTCCTTCTGCTCCAGCCATTTCACTCCATGCTATTCTCTACCCACGCTGTGTTCTCACCTCTACATCCTTGAAAATGCTATTCCTTTCCCATGGATAAAAAACTAGCAAGAATTCTAAAATGCTCTAAAATGACTTAGTATCTTATGCAATACTTAGTATCTTATCTTAGTATTGTATGCAATACAATAGATATGTATATCTCTATACATTTGGAAAGAAATTCATTTATAGTCTTCCTATGGAGAATGAACAGTGTTCATAAGATTTGGTTTGGGGTTTTTAAAAGAAACTGATAATGTGATATTCATAACTTTAAAAGTCACGAAGAAAATATCTGGACCATAGGGCTTTGGAATCAGAATTCTGAACACTCAGCCACTTGCTTATATACTTTAATAATGTAACCATGATGAGCTTCTGCTGTGGCAGAAGGATTTCTCAAAAATGGCCAGAGCATTA